TTCTTCCCAACAGTAGAAGAAATATTACCGTTGCAAGCTGGGCAGCCGACCATGTTTGACTGCCGTTGTGGGTAGGGGGGCCCGGGGGTGGGGAAAATAACGGTACAAAAAATTCTAGAAATGGGAAAACTATGGCTCCCTATAATTTCCTCGTTCTTATCTTAACATGGCCTTGTCCAAAACAACTGCTTCAGTCTTACTACACTATAGGCCTGTCAAACAACCACCTCTCAAGTTATGGCCAGGGCACTTTTCATGCATTGCTCACTGATTTTTACTTCGCTAAAAGGAAATTATTTGGCCGCTGGCCACAAGTTTATGAAGATTTGACCTTATCTTTTCTATAATGCAGAGGTTTAGGTCCTTTCGGTCCGGATCTGGTTCGCAGATATACTAGTGCGAGATTTGGTGAGCGTTCACAAGGAGACGTATTAACTGAGGAGGAATCAAGATTACTTACAGGTACGTACAATTAACTTGTTTGGCTTCCTACACATTGATTTCTTTCTTATCTTTTTAATCTTTTAATGATAGATTATACGTATCATACTCTGGCGGCTAAATCTAGTGGAGATCTGTGCTTAAAATATATATTCTCCTTTGGAGCCTTTGCACGGATGCCTCTTTTACATAGGTGAGATGCTTCCATTTCAATATTGGTTTTTAAACTAGTGGAAAGAGTGCCCAGGTAACTCTACCATTAGTACCTTACTGGTAAATGTTGGGCTTTCTGATATTTACTAAATTCTGATGTATTTTTTTATTAGGGATATTTTTTTTTGAGAACGTGTATTGTGGTGATGATCTTATACATGTTGATGTTGGCATGAATAACATAAAATGTTTGAGACGGCTTATCGTGCAACTTTCTTTAGAACTCTGTTCTATACAGGAGAAAAATAACAATGTTGCTTGACAGTGTTTATAATGCCATTACACGTTTACTCTTAAAGTATCTACTTGCCAGGACACATTGCCATACACTTGTATGTTCAAGTCTTAGAGATATTCTTTCTTAACACGTTTGCTATATAGGACCTTATAGTTTTGTAGCTTACTTTTGTCTTTCTGTACCACGTATTGAGATTATTATCTGTTGGAAGTCTAATAAGATACTTCAGTGACATGGTCGTGTTATCTTATTTTCGAAGTGAAGATACGCGAGAAATAGTTAACTACTTTAGGTTTGTAATTATCATATACTGTGCATGCAGAGCATCAGAGTGGAAGGTGCCAACAACATTCGTATATGGTTTCCAAGATTGGATGACTTACCTAGGTGCACAAGAAGCTCGAAAGCAAATGAAAGTCCCGTGCGAGATAATAAGGGTCCCTCGGGTATCTCTCTCTCTCTTTCTCCCTGCCTATTATACAATTAGGCACACAAATTCTGTCCCCTCCTTTGCTTTGAAAAGTCGGAAGTACAAACTGAAATTTTCTTCTCTATTTGCAGGGTGGTCACTTTGTATTCATAGACAATCCAGCTGCTTTTCATTCGGCTGTATTCTATGCTTGCCGGAATTTTATTTCACCTGACCAGGACAATATCTCACTTCCAGAAGGCCTGGAATCTGTCTGAAGAATAGAGAATATGTTGTATTATTATGTTTAACATATGAATTGACATTTCTGTCACAGCGAGGAGCACTTCGCCTGATTAAGAATTTTTTGCAATGTTCCGCTACATATGGGGCTATTATTCTTTTGTATCGACATCATTTTTCATTTTTTTTTTTCTCTTTTTGCATATATTCATGGACGAGCCCAGTTCTTGGTCTCTGTAATTGAGAAATTTCTGTAATTATTGATTATAATTGAAGGTTGGGACCTAAATAATTGTGTGTTCCAAGTGCAGTTTCAAATTTCCCAGTTTTTTAAGCACTGGAGTGAAACGGAAAGCGTTGCTTTCAATTGATGCCTCCACTGACAGAATCATAATGCTCCATTCTGAACAAAACAGTCATTTTTTGCTTCATTATTGCTCTTGCAAAGGCCACAAACTGCACAAGTGCCTGATGCTAAACGACAGAAAGGAAACCATTAACCAAGTGTCTGAGCCATGGCCAACTGTGCCATTTATATACTGGTTTCTGTTTCGGCGCTAAATATAAGCCAATATGACATATTCACAGATGCTGACCCTCCCTCCCTCCCTCTCACAACAATTGTTTGCCCTTTTTCAATAAAAAATAGGAAAAATTGTAGCAGCGATCCATAATTTTTTAATTTTTCGCAGACTTTACCCTAACTTTCATTTTATGTTCAGAGGTCTATCCTTTCATAAATATGCATTTGGAGGTCCCTATGGACGGAAACCGTCCAAAACACTGTCAGTTGATATGTAAAATTAATAAATCATGTACATTGACCTTTTTAAGGAGGGTCAATTTCGTTCAACCAACATTTCTCCTTTGATTCAAAAATTGAAAAGTAACCAATTATTTTCCACTAATATATTCACGTTACACAGATAGGGAAACGATCATTTTTTACAATGTTTGGTGAAGAAGGACATGAATCTGACAATAATGTTGAAGATATTGCTTGTCACATACGAGGTCCTCTTTTTGAACCTGTCTACGGTGAGTATTTTTGCGTTTGAAATTTCTAAAAATAACGAGGCTCTTTGTTACACACTGAGCCCTGATGTGATTTCTTCTACTACAACATTGCATGTTTTTTTATTGTTTTATAGATTTGGGTATATCATAAAACATGTAATAGCTATGTGTTCACATTATGTATTCATGTACCGTGAGACTAGGGTTTGAGCCTAATGATAATTTTGATGGAATTTGTTTTATAAGAGAAAATTCTATTAATTTCACCATAAAGTTACACCATGGTAATATATTATTCGCCAAGATACTTAATTTTGTGTACGAGCATGATAAGATATCATATCTTAACTACGTAAATCCGATTTGGTTTAATAGATTTCTGTTGGACAATGCCTTGAACATGTTGGGATACCCTCAGAAAATAAGGTATCTATATAAGGTTGAAAAGAAGAAAATTAGTAAGGCATCGTTTTGATTGGTGAGGGATGTAGACTTCATGAATTTAGTGAAGTTACTTG